AAGAAGTCGGTATTATACATTGTCGGGCGCATCTGAGAGGAGATGGTGATGTAACCAAAGGGAATCGGATGGCAGATAGTGCAGCTAAGCGTGCTGCTGAATCAGGAAGACAGGAATATGTGGGGCATATAGCTGCTCTTATACCAGCTCCACTGTCTCAATGGACTCCAATTTATACAGCTCAGGAAGAGGAGTGGTTAAGGACTGAACCTGGAAAGTATTTGGAGAACAAATGGTATCAGTTAGAAGATGGAAGAATAGTTATTCCAGCATCACTAGCGGTAGAAATTGTCCAAAACTATCATAGCGGGACACATTCTGGGAGAGACAGTACAGAAGAATCTCTCAGAAAACATTTCTACATACCAAGATTGTCCAACTTGACTCAGGCCATTGTACGTAGATGTGTAACGTGTGCTAAAAATAATGCAAGACAAGGACCAGTAAAGCCACCAGGAGTCCAGTTTATGGGGGGACTTCCCATGTCCGATTTACAAATTGACTATACAGTGATGCCTAAATCGGGTGGACATCGCTACCTGCTGGTAGTGGTGTGCACCTATTCAGGCTAGGTAGAAGCATGTCCTACTCGTACAGAGAAAGCAGGAGAAGTCGTGAGATTCCTGCTACGAGAAATAATACCCCGATATGGACTACCCTGCTCTATAGGATCGGACAATGGTCCAGCTTTTGTTCATCAGTGCCTACAACAATTGACTCATATGCTTGGTATAAAGTGGAGGCTTCATACGGCATATAGACCCCAGAGTTCTGGTAAGGTAGAGAGAATGAATAGAACTATTAAGAATCAGTTGGCTAAAATGTGTCAGGAAACCCAACTTAAGTGGAGCGTTCTCTTGCCCATAGCTCTATTGCGAATCCGTAGTACACCTACCAGAAGGATGGGCCTCTCTCCTTTTGAAATCATGTACGGGCGACCACCTCCCGTGCTTGGTAACTTAAGGGGGGATTTGAGTCAGTTGGGAGAAGGAATTACCCGGCAGCAGGTTGTAGAGTTGGGTAAGACTATGGAGGAGGTACAGAAATGGGTACAAGATAGATTACCTGTGAATATTTATCCCCCAATTCATAGTTACCACCCAGGCGACCAAGTGTGGATTAAAGAGTGGAATAATGTGCCGTTAGGGCCCAAGTGGAGAGGTCCTTATGTTGTTCTTCTGTCTACCCCTACAGCGATAAAAGTAGCCGAAGTGGCTCCGTGGATACATCACTCTAGGGTTAAACCAGCAGCAGCCGATTCCTGGCAAGTTACAGCAAATCCAGAGAATCCCTGCAAAATCCGGTTAAAACGCACGACTCCGTCGGAGTGACGAGGAACCTTGTGGATCACAAATTTTATTGTTTCAGAGACTTGGTAAGTGAGTGAGAAGGCCATAATAAAGCCTGTCCACTCACCAACGAGTGTATAAGTCAGGGAAAGTCTTGAGGGACCCCTGTGAAGACGAGCAGAACTCCATTCCCTGCAGCCCTTACATCCTGGAAGCTGAGGTGCCTTCGCACGGACGAAGACTGAGGATGACGACGAAAGATGTATTTTTAATAATGTTTATTTATGTGTATTTTTATATTCAGGAAGGTAGAGGTACCGACACTCCTAGCTGTGAGGTATGCAGTAAGACTACAAGAACAGGTAACCATATATCCCAGACCCTAATTTGGCATTCGCAATATGAGTGTAAAGGAGATGTATCAAGATGTAGATACTTAAATATAGAATATAGTGTGTGTGATTTAGGAGTAGGAGAACCTAAGTGCTTCAGTCCTGAGTATCAACCCCGTACAATTTGGTTGACTCTCAGAAATGGAGATCCTCAGGGGACCCTAATTAATAAGGCGGTATTAGAATCCGTATATTCTTCAGGTGCTCTGCTATTTGATGCGTGTAAAGCAATATCAAGTGGTAGAAAGCCGTGGAATGTATGTGGGGATCTTAGATGGGAGAGGACGTATGGGTCTAACGATAAATATATTTGTCCCAGTAGTAAAAATAAATATGTAAGTCCAAGATGCCCAAATAGAGATTATAACTTCTGCCCTTATTGGTCTTGTGTGGGGTGGGCGACTTGGGGACAGACAGCAGACAAGGACATGATTGTGACTAAGTTGCCTACTGATCCATATTGTAAGTCTATGGAATGCAATCCAATCCATATACTTATAAATAACCCTGACAAGTTCTTAGATAAATATGGTAATTTATTTAGGTTTCAAATATATGGGACGGGTTTAGACCCTGGGACAATATTGTTTATAGGGATAGAGACTGATACGGTAACCTCCCAAACTCATCAAGTATACCATTCCTTTTATGAAGAGATGAGCATAGATAATAAGATCCCCCATAATGCTAAAAACTTGTTCATTGATTTAGCCGAGAGTATTGCCGGTAGTCTTAATGTTACCAACTGCTATGTGTGTGGGGGTACTAACATGGGAGACCAATGGCCTTGGGAAGCAAAGGAGGTAATGTCCGGTTCTAAGGCAGTTGACCAATTAATATCTATACAAGCCGACTATCATATGAGTGTTAGAGGTAAATCTGAGTGGAGATTGAAGACCTCCATCATAGGTTATGTTTGCATAGCGAGGAAAGGAATGATGTATAATACGTCTGTAGGTGAGCTAACGTGCTTGGGACAAAAAGCCTATAATGTTAATACTAAAAATACTACTTGGTGGTCAGCTTCAAATGTCTCAGAACCATCTAACCCGTTTGCAAGATATGCCAATTTAAAGGACGTATGGTTTGATCTATCCATCACATCTAACTGGAGAGCCCCAGCGAATTTGTACTGGATCTGTGGTAAGAAGGCCTATTCGGAGTTACCACAGGACTGGGAAGGGGTATGTGTGTTGGGTATGTTAAAACCATCCTTCTTCTTGTTGCCTATTGAAACAGGTGAGACTTTAGGTGTTAAAGTGTATGATGTGAATCATAGGAAGAGAAGGGGACCCATAGAGATAGGTGCCTGGGAAGATAATGAATGGCCTCCCCAGCGTATTATAGATTATTATGGGCCAGCCACGTGGGCAGAGGATGGTACCTTTGGTTATAGAACCCCTATTTATATGCTCAACCGCATTATAAGGTTACAGGCGGTGGTTGAGATCATTACTAGCGAGACATCACAAGCGCTCAATCTTCTAGCGAAGCATAATACCAGGATGAGGACAGCAGTTTACCAAAATAGATTAGCCTTGGATTATCTTTTGGCAGTGGAGGGAGGTGTATGTGGGAAGTTTAACCTGAGCAATTGCTGTCTTCAAATAGATGACGAAGGGCAAGCAATAGCTGAGCTTACTAGCCATATGGTTAAACTAGCGCATGTGCCTACTCAGGTATGGAAAGGGTACAATCCAAGTAGTTGGTTTGGTGGCTGGTATGAGTGGTTTGGAGGGCTTAAGGCAGTGGTAGGTGGAGTCCTACTGATTTTAATGTTGTGTCTACTCCTGCCGTGTCTTATACCCTTAGTAGTTAGGTCTGTGCAAAGCCTGATAGAAAATATAGCAGAGAGGAAGGCTGCTGCACAGATAATGGCAATTTATAAATATAAGGCTCTAGATCAGGGAGAACTAATGCAGGAAGATGAGTGTTGAAGATTCACATCATAGGATAAGTCTGGTCTGGTTCAAAGGTAACTTGTGGTGTATGCAAACCAAGGTTAAGTGATGCCTCAAGTAATTGTAAAATATCAAGAGGCATCAAAGGGGGGAATGTGGTGGAATCTCGGTAAAAATAAATTTAGTAGGCCGAGATTACCACGTGGCATGTGTACGTGCATATGCTGACGTATCGATCAGTTGGTTGCACGAGGCAAGATACGATCAGTAGTGTACGGAGCATGTGCAGGAATGCAGGAACTGAAATTGTACTTATTTCCTTTGTCTTGGATGGGCCATGTGGTTTGACTAGATGTACAAGTCTATATTCTGCTCATTGATTGGTTAAAGGTATATGTGGGTGTAGCTATTAATGGGAGGAGTTATGTGCCTATATAGGGAGCCTGCACTATTGTTCAGGGCTCAGAACTTGCTGTATTTTTGGTGACATTAGTCCCTCTGAGTCCCGATCGGTGATCCAATAAAGAATCTCTTCCTTCCTGAAGAAACCTGTGTCCATCCCTCTGTGCTTTGCTTCCGTCAGTTTCTCCGGTATCATCACTACTCGTGTGCGGTCGGTCAAACTAACACTTCCATGAAATTCAAGAACCCCTGATCCAATCTGGGTGATTTTTGAGTATGTTGCTCACCCAGATCAGGGCTATCAGGGGATGTAGCATTCAGGGGTGTATGTCATGTCTTTGGGGTAGATCTGGAAAACGGGGAAAAATGTGTGTTGAAACTGTTCTGGTAATTTTATAACATGACAGGAGGCTTCCTATTTTGCATTAACTCTCTTTACTAAACTCCACAGCAGTAAAGAAAAACGTAAAGAGTAACAAATAAATCACTGAGCAGCATAGTATATAAGGGTCATGCTGCCTGTACACTCCCTCTTTCTTTACTGCTCCATCGCAGACAGGTCAGAATATCTGCTCCTCTGGAGCTTTATACATTTATACATTTATTGTCATTATCTATTTGTTCCATTCATTGTTATTATCTCTATTATTACTTTAATTTATTTCCTTTTATTTCTGTTCTGCACTGGGCTGTGGGACTAGGGGCTCTCTGTGGGTTTCTACCCTCTTATCTGCCCCTCTGTTCATTTTGGGACCCTCCCTGGGCCTCCCCTCGGTCTCCCCAGGTCCCCCCACTGCCCCCCTAACCTGGAGTGCCCTCCTGGGCTCCCTCCTTGCGGCCGGAATCGTTCGCGGCCGTTTTCGCGCCGGCCTGCTTCCGCCCGCGGCCGGCCTCAAAATTTAGTCCCCGGCTTGCGGCCTACACTCGCGGCCGCCATTTTGGATCGCGGACATCTTAGTTTTGCCTCGTGCATCTCATTAGGGACTCAGTGTGGCTGTGCTAACTTGCTGTTACCTCTGCATTGCTGTTTTTCACACCCTTTGTGTCTCACACCCCTGTGACTGAAGGATTACCTGCTCAGCACTCCATCTAGCTGCTATCACTCTGCTACTCAGCCTCTGTGCCTCATCTGCTTCTATCAAGCTATATCCTGTGGCTGGGTCAGTCAGGTCAGTGCTGCTGCCTGTTTGTTATTGTGACCTGCACTTAAGGGTCCCAACCCTGTGCAACCGGGGTGAGCCCCCACTATAAATACGCTGCTTACTGGGAGACTAGCTGTTGCAGTTCTCTCTAACTGGGTGAGCCCCAGTTTATAAGGTCACTACTATACCCTGCTGGGGTTATTCTGGGCTTGGTCCCACCATACTATCAAATCTGACCCTACGCCTATTATCAAGACCTGGGTGCCCGTTTATTGCTGTGCCTTTCAGTGACGTATCAGCCTACCCTAACATGGAAGATTCCCAGAACGTCCCTGTGGACTTCCAGGCTATGATTAACACAGCTGTCGCTGCCTCTGTGGAGAAGGCACTCTCCAAGGCCCGAGCTCCGGCTCCTGACGTACCAAAAACCCGCAGACGTACACGCCACGAATCGGATTCCGACTTGTCCGACTATCAGACAAGGGATGACTCCCGCCCTAAAAAGCGCCATGACAAAGGCGAGGATTATGCACCCAAACCGCCTAAGGGTAAGGCACCTGCCAAGCGCAAATCTGCCAAACTACACACCCCGACCCCGCGTCAGGAGTACTCTTCAGACGAAGAGCAGGGCCCTGCCCAGTCCATGTCAGTGCTGGATGAATGGCAAGCTGACGCTTCTGAGTCGGACTACGACGCATGGGGCTCGGACGAGAAATCTGTCTCCGCTTTCATGCGGGAGACCCTCCTGGGTGCGGCCCAGACTGGAGGTGTTGAGGACACTGCGGACGCAGAACCTCCTCTAGACTCAGACACCATTTTGGACCCTTCAGGTCAGGCGATGTTCGACCCCCGCAACATACGGCACCCCAGATCGGGTGACTGGTCACCTCCAGAACACCTTTCCAGGTTTATGCACCTGTGGCTCCGCAAACCTCTGGAGAAGGAGGTCCGCAGCCGACTCAGGTCTGAATGCCCACGCCCTTCCCTGCCAGATAAGGTCGCTCAGACCCCTGAATTTGACAAGGTCATGTCGACCTTCATGATGCGCAGTGGTAGAGACCCTCGCCGAGGGGTAGAGAAAGGCCTATGGGGCGCCCAGGATAACCTGCTGGATTCCGTAGGCCCCCTGGCTCGCATTATGTATCTGGCGGATGATGCCTACGCCAAAGCCGACTCCTTCTCTGCCGAGGACATCAGGGAATGGGCACATGACGTTCGTGAATGGGCACAACGGTGTTTTTGTTTCATTGGAAACACTAATGTTACGCTCTCTTCGGAGAGACGAAAAGCAGCGTTATACCGTATTAACGGTAAATTGGCAGACCTTGGCACAAAGGAGATTGGGCCCCAGGCACAAGGAAAACTATTTGGCGAACCGTTCCTCAAGGAACTCAATAAACACGTAAACGTGTTCACCTCCCTTAATAAGGCGCAATCCTCTATGCGCAGAGTTTTCAGGAGCAACCCTACCAGAGGGTTTTTTGGAAGGGCTGGCCGGCAGCGGGGCCGTGCCGCCAGCCGCTTTTGGCCTTCAGGCCCCCGCACCCAACCAACACCGTTCTACCCGACAAGGGACTATCGGCAGCAACCCTTTTCCAGAGGCTCGGATAGAGGTCGTGGACCCCGCAGACGCGGACGTTCCCGCTTTGCTGCAGGTAAGGACCCATATTCCTCCACTGTTACCATGCACCCGCACTGCGGGCCGTATTTCCCTTTCTTTCCAGAATTGGGCCGCCCTATGCTCAGACACATGGATCCTACAAACAGTACAGGGATATATCATAGACCTAGTGGGGACCCCCTTTCAGGTTCAGCCCCCTCGCCCCATCCACATGTCGTCCTCCGACCACAACCTCGTCAACGCGGAGCTACGCGAGCCCCGAGACAAAGGGGCCATCCAGCCGGCCCATGACGAGGGTGGTTACTTCAGCAACATCTTCCTGGTTCGGAAAAAGTCAGGAGAATACCGACCGGTCATCAATCTACGCGCCCTCAACGCACATGTGGTCTATCGCCACTTCAAGATGGAGGGCATCCACCTCCTGCGAGACCTTCTTCGAAGCAACGACTGGTTCACCAGGCTCGATTTGAAAGATGCATATCTGTCAGTCCCGGTGCACCCGGACTGTCGAGCACTCCTACGTTTCCTCTGGCCACTTGCCTCCCTTTCGGGCTCGGCTCAGCCCCATGGTGCTTCACCAAGCTTCTAAAACCAGTGGTGGCCCACCTGAGATCCAGGGGCATTCGATGCATCATCTACTTAGACGACCTTCTCCTCTTCTGCTCCGACGAACACAGACTACGCCAACACACTCACTTGGCAGTGTCCCTACTGGAATCTCTGGGTTTCGTGGTAAACCAACCGAAATCGGAGCTGACCCCTACTCAGACGATACAATTCCTCGGCTTCGAGATCGACTCGACGACATGCACTCTGAGACTACCGGCCTCAAAGATCACAGCCATTCGCAAGGAGATTCGCAGGGTTCTCCGTCTCGACTCCATTCCGCTACGCAACCTGGCCAGGATTGTAGGACTCCTCTCTGCCTCCATTCAAGCCATATTTCCGGGTCCCCTTCACTACAGGGCCATGCAACGTCTCAAGGCGAAATACCTACGCCACAGACCTACTTACGACCAACTCGTCCCGGTGACGATGGAGGTTCGCGAAGAACTATCATGGTGGCTGGACAGCATGCAAGCCTGGAACGGCAAGGCCATATTCGGAGACACCCCAGACTTCGTATTGGAATCAGACGCCAGCCTGTGGGGATGGGGTGCCACCAACGGAACCATCTCCACGGGAGGAACATGGACAGCACAGGAGCTCTCCATGCACATCAATTGCCCCGAACTCCTGGCGGGATCCTTCGCGATCCGCAGCCTGGCCCGGGAAAGATCCAACTGCTGCATCCTCCTGCGCATGGACAATGTCTCCGCAGTCCAGTACATCAACCGTCTGGGAGGCGCTCGCTCACGCCTGCTGTCGGATATCACAAGGGACATCTTCGACTATTGCCTCCCTCGCAATATCACGCTTCAGGCGGAATACTTACCGGGAGAAATCAACCTCACAGCCGACTAGTTCTCTCGCCACTGGAGAGACGTCAGCGACTTGAAGCTAAACACGAGAATCTTCAGTCCCTGACAGCCCGGAGGGGTCCCTTTCACCTGGATCTGTTTGCCTCTCGCAACAATCACCAGACCCCGGAGTTCTTCAGCTGGCTCCCGGACCCGGAGAGCAAGGCGACAGACGCATTTCTCCAACAATGGCCGACGACAGGAGCCTACGCCTTTCCCCCATTCTCCATGATTGCGAGAACACTACACCAGATGCGGACGCAACAGATCAAACTGGTTGTCATAACGCCCCTGTGGCAGAGCCAACCATGGTTCCCGGACCTCCTGGCCTCCTCCTACAGGCACCCTCTCCTCCTACCATCCTTCCCGGATCTTCACCCACTACTCCTGGAAGACCGGCTACCCCTGGTGGCTTGGTCTCTTTCCGGGGTTCCTGGCGAGTCAGCGGACTATCGCAGGCTGCTAGGGACCTCTTATGGGACTCATGGGCCCCGGGAACTAGACGCTGTTACCTTTCAGCTTGGGCCTCTTGGTCTACTTGGTGCATGGAACGGGACTCCGATCCCTTTACAGCACCTATTCCCATGATTCTTAATTTTCTTTCCTCCTTGTTTTCATCTGGCCGCTCTTACCGGTCGGTCAACGTCGTTCGCTCCGCGATTTCGGCGGCTCACCCCCCCGTCGGGGATCTCCCAGTCGGCAAAGACCCTCTGGTCTGCCGTCTACTCCGCGGTATGCGGCTCCGCCGCCCCCCAGCCCCCAGATACCCTCACCTATGGGATGTGGGACTGGTTCTCCGTTTTTTTAGGGATTGGCTGCCGAATGACCGCCTCTCCCTACGCCAACTATCCGCTAAGTGCGCTTTTCTCCTTTGTCTAGTATCTTTCCGACGGGTTTCGGACGTTAGGGCCTTCGACGTGGCCTTCGACTTCGGTCTTCTACCCCTTTTTCCCCGACGACCCGCAACTCTGCGTCGTGTCCACCCTTCGCAGGTATGTTTCCGTTACCTCCTCGCTCAGATCCTCTACGTCGGCCCAACTCCTAGTCTCCTACGTGCGCCCTCACGCCCCAGTCTCGGTCACCACACTGGTCCGCTGGATCCTTTCCCTCGCAGGTATAGATCCCGCGTTCGGCGCCCACTCCGTTCGTGGTGCGGCGGCTTCATCAGCCTTCCTGGCAAGGGCGTCCCTTTCTGATATTCTCCGAACGGTGGACTGGTCTAGGGAATCCACTTTCCGTACATTTTATTTTCGCACTCCCCCTTCTGCTGGGATGTCACTTCTTCAGCGTTAAAATTGCAAAATAGGAAGCCTCCTGTCATGTTATAAAATTGAAGATTATGCTAGCTTTAGTGTACTAATAATCTTAATTTTAATAAGGACAGGAGGCGAGTATTTTCCCTCCCCTGACTCCTCGGGGGAGTGGATCTAAAGGTGATGGATTTTGGGATTCATGTTAGTAGTTACACTATCTTCTGGACATATTCGGTATCCCTTCCATCTCTATCCCCAGTGTTTCCACCTAGACGGACAGCTTAGTTGTACAACATGCTTACACCTACCACATATTTAGCCTATGGCCAGCTTACAATCTGTCTGTACTGTTTAATTTACACCATTCTGTTAAAACCCACAGGCGTGAACAGTTACGGTTCAGTACCTAACCGATTTTATACTCTCCTTTCAGTGTAACCCTCTTCAGGACCTCCACTGGTCGCTGGTTCGTTAACCTCACGACTCCGTAAAATGGGATGACGGCTTTGTTTGGTCTTTCCTCCTATCTCGTTACCAGGAGTCTCCTCAAGTTCCGCTCGCCAGAGACCGCAGTTACTGTTTCGTTGAGTTTCTGGATGTTCGAGCTCTATCTGGACTTGGATGTCGCTTTAAGAAAGAGGAAGTGTACAGGCAGCATGACCCTTATATACTATGCTGCTCAGTGATTTATTTGTTACTCTTTACGTTTTTCTTTACTGCTGTGGAGTTTAGTAAAGAGAGTTAATGCAAAATACTCGCCTCCTGTCCTTATTAAAATTAA